GATGAGTTACTTGGATTCAACCGAGTAACTCACCCAAGTAACTCACCGACCAATGGACTCGCCCAAGAATATAGAAATGTGGGTGAGTACCTTGGCAAAGTTGTTTCTATACTCTGGTTGACAGTTTCAATGAATGTTATGGATCGGTTTCCACAGTGGGGACTATAATTAAAGGTGTGGTTGTTTGGGAAGTATGTAAGGAGAGAAATAGAAGATGTTTTGAGGAAGGGAGTGCCAAGTAATGAACTATGTGAGAAGATCAGGGTGATGTTTTTGAGCATCAATCAGAAAATTTTTGGGAATTGCAAGAATGGAGCTAATGTATTACACCATGTTATAAAGTTTAAGGGGAGGACACAAAAAAGGTTCAATGCATGGGAGGCACTGGAAAATGGAAATATAAAACTGAATCTTGATGGGAGTTCTTTCAAAAATCCTGGTAAAGCTGGTGTAGATGGGGTCTTAAGAGATCATGAAGGGGTGGAATTGAAAAAGTTTTGGGGCCATTTGGGTATATGACTGCAAATGCAGCTAAATTACATGCATTGATGCTAGGACTGAAAATAGCTGGGGAATGTAAGATGCCTGTAGTTGCTGAAGGTGATTTTATGAATGTGATAAAATTGCGTAAAAGGCTGATGGTCGCTGTGTATGGTATGAGAGGAGATTATGGACATAGTTAAAGATATGTATGTAGTTAAAGATATGTATGTGAGTTATGGACTAAATTAATTAGGTTTTGCAAGAAAAGTAGCTTATTTGGCTACCAGAAAAAAGAAAATAAAAGAAAAGTAGCTTCTTAAAAAAATGGTTTATTTTGTAGCATTTTTTGTATTGTTCATTTGAATTCTTTAAAGACCATAAAATTTGCACTGTTTCAAAAGCTCCAAATTCATGGACCGAAGGGTGGGAATGGGTCTCAAAAAGTAGGGTGGACTCACTATTCGGCCAACCCACCAAATACTCCATGCAAAACATTACATATAAGTTATTCAGATCTACATTATGAGCGATTTTAACTATTGAAAAAATATTAGTCAGCAAAAAGGCATGTCAAATAACTCATGATGTTTTTTTGGCAAAATTTTACGTTCGCCGCCTACCGAACATGCCCTTTTACCCCGGCATGGGATGGGTTAAGGGAAAGCTTAAAGTCATCACCCTTGTTAGACCAGGCATGTCAAATAACTCTTAATTGAATATCAGCATGTCCAGCTGCTGCCTTGTGTCTTTGGCATAGTTGTTCAAGTTTCGAGACAAAGAGGGCGTGAACTTCAGCAACCTGCTCAGGCAAACCCTCCAGTCTCAGCAAGAAAGATTTTGATGCAAAACTGAATAGGAGCAAACAATACATATCATGCACATATGCTTCATACACAAAGCAAAGGGAAAACTAATGTAAACCCCATCAAATTTATATCAATGATTGAAGTACCATGAAGTTATAAAATATGATATGAAATGCAAATTTTTATAAGACTAACAACATCTTTGTGTGCGTGAGTGTCTGTGAAAATGGAGCTTCTTCAAGAGAACAGCCACTTATCAGAAGTTAACTCACTTCTTCTTTAGAGGGGTTCGGGTTTCTCTTCAGCTCAATTGGCCTCCCGACTATGACATGCATCGGCCGGCGGTATGGAATATGCGTTCTGCACAAATTATTCACAAGAAACATAGAAAGTTTTAGAGTTGAATAGTTACCAAAAGCACAATCACTCTATCTTTACGAATCCACACCTGAAAGTCTTAGGTGAAAAGCTATTTCAGGGAAAGCAAGGAATTCATGTTTTTCTAATTGCTAATAGTACCTATAAGTTACATTTTTCACTGAATTCTCTGTAGACAATCTTTACTGTACAGATAGTATTGAAAGAATGTAAGATGTAAATGCTTGCTACAAGATAAAGTTCCCATTTGTGAAACTTCTAAGATAATTTCTTAAAATTAACTGCAACATAAAAAAAAATGCCCCAAATTTGACTACTTTAGAGATAAGATTTCAAGTAAAGAAGCAACCACATACAACCTTTTAAAGACAACCAATATAAGCAAGTGAACGGATCCTATTTTTCTCTCCTCCTAACTCAAAGAAATAAAGAACCCCATAAAATGTTACAAATTAGAGATATACCCAAACATTCCCCAGTACAACAAGGGGGCAAATCGGATTGCTCTAGCTATGCGTGTATATAGATCTCCCTTTGGTTTCCACCAGTTATAAACATTCGTCTGCACAATCACAGCCAGAACAATAAGCAGGACACTACATGTTTCTCTCTATTTATGAAAATATTAATTTCTCTTTTTCTCACACACTCACATGTACATACACATGCGCGAAAACATAATACATTATATCTTCTGACCTGACCAAAGCAAAAGATAGGGACTAAAGGCCGTCCTGTCTCTATAGCAATGCGAACAAATCCCTGCCTTTTCTTAAGGTAAGCAACCTGAGGACACAACTAGGTAAGAATTAAAATCCAGAATAAACCTTGCTTCAGGTTTGACAGTTAAGCAGCACAAAAGTCTCCCACAAAAACAGTAAAACTCTTAAAGTAAGCCCAAGAGTTTATGATTTCCATCAAAATTATTATCATGTTCAACCCACAATAGAAGAAAGGTTCAGATAGAGATCAAAGTTCTGAACATGGCATGGTATCAGCACAGACCTCAGAACCGTGCTCCATATAAAATATTTCTTGAACGCCACCTGGAATAACAATACAACTATAACCAGCTTCCAAGTATTTAACGAAGTTCTTTTTTGTGGCAGGAACAAGTCCAGTCCAGGTCCCTACTTGCCGTAAAAGGGGTGGATAGAATGTCTGAGTAAAACATGAAAATAAATGAAATATTTGAAAAGGCAACTTAGAATAACTACAAATAAAGTTTATATACATAGAGTTGTTTCAAAACAAAATGGTATGGGTTCATAGAACACAGGCTTACAGCATTACTTGCAAGACCCTTGGTCTTAGAGAGTGGCATCAAGCCTGTAATATTCAATAAGGAGAGACAACCAATTGGAAAAATTGAATGTGGTTCTGCAGCAAGCACTGCAAAATAAAGAAAGACTTTTAGTTTTTAGTATGAAAATCAGAATATAAGCTGAATACTGCTTTTTGTTTAAAGCAAAAGCCTCCGCTCGTATAGCGAGGACTAGTGACTGAAAAGCCAAGTTGTCAAATTGCTGAGTATCAAAGTTTTCTGAGAGATGGATCCAGCATAAAATGAAATCTTTGAAGTATCAATTGGTAACAAAACCAAGTATTGCTAATGCCATCACATTATGACTTCTCAATATGCAAAGTATTCGTCAGAGTAACCTATTTCTGGAAGTTGCATGAGTAACCTATTTCTGGAACTTGCATGATCAGGGTCAGATGTCTAACTTAGCCACAAGAACTACGCACTGAAATTTACTTTTCTTTTCCAAAATGTAAATTAACTTAGATATAACAGGATAAATGCCAACAAACTACAAAGTATACATGTAGCAGTAGCCCAATCAAGGGAATATAGATTGAAGTTTCTGATAGTCAACTCTACTGTAATCCATTCTCTAGCCAAGGAATCACAAATAGCCAACATCTCTTCGGATATGACAAAAGAACCAATTCAATGGGATACTAATCACTCGCTTCATTTATATAGTTAACAATACATAAATTATTAACCTAATAAATCATGTCAACAGAAAGATGTCTAGTTGAGAAAATGAAAAGGCATTCAGTTTCTTTATCTATTGTCTAAGTGTCAATCTACCAACTTGAGAAACCAGGCTACTCATGATATCATCACAAAGTAACATTCAGTAAATGGTAAACACCTAACAGGAAAAGACAAAAGAATTCAAAGGCAAATCAAAGAAGGAAAAGAAAACTAGCAAATAAATCTAAGAATACATGTGAACAGAAAATTTCTGGAGTACATTACCATATGCTTGGTTTGGATCAAAAGATTGTATATCCTCAATGAGAACAGTAGTAGGAAAGTACCCAGGCCCATACTTTCCAATATATCTGATCCAAAATGAAAGAAATTTTCTTAATAACAAACAGCAGCAGTCTTTAATTGGCTATTTAACATTGAAATTTTTAAGTAGAGCAGCAACAAAAATTTCCAACCAGAAAACTAGGACAAGAAGTTAGGAATGAAGCAGCTCAATTTGGACCATTCAAAATAATGACAAATAAATAGACCAGTGTTTCAATACTCGGCCAAGTCCACTCGGACTCTCCACTTGGAGTCGGCCGAGTAACTCGGCTTAGGCCTATGGCCAAGGCAAGACTCGCATGGATTTAAAACTTAAAATAATAATAATTTTTTGTTAAAAATCGCTATAATATGATTCAGAGATATATTGTTATATGATTTTTATGGTTTTTATGATGGTTTGGATATTTTTCTTGTTACATGCTCCAATTTGTTTGATTTTTCTAATATATTTCAACGTATAAGTCAAAATTTCAAAAATCCATCTTTTATATACTTTTTTCATCTTTTATAAATTTTTAAGAATTTCTATTACTTATTTTACATTTTTTTATTTTTAATTATTTTTAACAATTTTCTTGACATTTCTCTTTTGAGTATATGGCCATATTTTGTCCATGTACATGACTCAGCCAAGTCCACTCAGACTCAGCTCAGTTACTCAGCTCAGGCTAATGATGAGTTCGAGGCCCCAGCCAATTTTAAAAGCATTGAAATAGACAAAAGTGGCCACCAGACTGTATACAAATAGATCAGAAAACTGGCATAAAAGTTCTAGGGAAAAAAAGCAATGTACAGAAACTGCAGATTCTAGAAGCAATAAACAATTGAATAAAAATGTCTATTTCTTTCCTATTCAAAATTACAATACTTAACAGAAAAGAAAACCATGTATTGCTTGTTTTCTTTTAGTTTTATTTTATTATATTTATTTATTTTTATCGAAATCCTCTTATAAACAGCTCTTCTAACTTAATGTGAACCAATATTTCCTGGCAAAAAGAATAACATAATAATTTGAGCATGGTACCTTGTTCATTCCTTTAGTGTTGCTGCTTCACATAGTACATTATCAATCAATATTAGCCTCACATTTTACAATTTTTATAATCTCAAAACTAATGCCGTTACCATAAACAATAAAAAGCATTAATATTATCATTGATTCTAATCTTGCTATTGGCATTTACAATGCTTTAGAATTTGATCTAAGAACATAGATCTCATCATAAAACAGGTAAAATATATGCAATTTTTTTATGTCAATAACAAAATATGCAGTAAATTCATACTCGTGCATGTGATAAAGACGCACTAATTCAAAAAAAAAAAAAAATATTTAAACCCTTCTAAATCCCTTTTACCGTCTTAAATATTACTTCTTCAACCCAAAAAAACCAAAAAAAAAAGAAAAAAAGACTAAGTCTGTAACTTTGGTATCAGAAAAAAATCGAAATGGATCACCTACTTATTATTCTTCATCTAACAGGCAAATAAAGGGGCATGAATTACATTAATTAAAGCAAAAAAAACCCAAAAACTCCAGTGAAACAATATTAATCATAAGAATCAAAACTAACCTGGCCACTCTACCCCCAAATTTACTCTGATCATCAACTGGAATCAGAGTGTTCAGCACCATTAACATAAATAACCTGTACTATCACAATTAACCCTCATAAATCCCACAAAATAGTAAAGTAAAAGAGAAAACGAAAACTTCCATTAAAGCTCAGATCAAACAAATTTCTCTCACATCTTCCAAGCAAAAAATTTACCATAAAAAATTATAAAAAGGATAAAAAAATTTCATAAAAACACTAAAACAAAGCGAAAATTCACCTTAAAAATATTAAAAAACCCAATAATTAATACCAAAAAGAAAATGTATACTTACAGGACCGTATATTTGAGTGGAAAGAGATTAAATATCAAACAAAAAAAAAAAGGAAAAACCCCCACCAAAACTCAGATCAAAGATATTCATTCACATCTTCCATAATAACATTGAAAATCTCCAAAAAAAACCACAAAAACACCCAAAAAATGCCATAAAAACTTTAAAAAAAAAAAAAGAGCAAACTGTCAAAATAATAATATAAAAACCCAATAGTTAATACCCAAAAAAACAAAAGCATAATTATTACTTACAAGACCGCATATTTGAGTGGAAAGAAGAGGAAAACTAAGGCCGTAATGACGAGATTAAGGTGTAATGCTCCAAGCCAGAGGGTAATGGCTATGAGTGTATGGAACGAAGAATACGTCTTAGATTTTATGACCGTGTATTCCAAATTTTCAGACTTTTGATCGCATTTCTGAAATTCTTCCATTTTTGGAATAGGATCTGTTTTGTAGAAAAAAAAAAGATATTTGATCAAGGCCAAAAGACCAAGAGAATTAAAGAGACTTTTAAGAGTATTTATGGATAAGAATGCTTGATTAAAATTAGGGAGACAAAGCCGAGGGAAAAATTGTGTTTTACACTTTTTGGGAAAAGTTTATACAAGGTTGCAACATTAAAACGAAGAATTACATATGCATCTAAAAAATTCATGGGAAAACGTTGTTTTAACGTTGGAAGAGGCTCTAATTAATCATCTCGAATATGAATTTATAAAAAAAAGATTTGGAGTATCAAAAATAGTAAATGTTGTAACACATTATTTAAACCGTCCATTTTCAAAAATTTTACATGTTTATATATCTACATGATTTTAACTATTTTTGAAGTTTAAAATTTTATAATTAGATATAAAAATACATTTTTCGATAATCTTAATAATTTTTTACACCAAAATTAGATATTATAATAAAAATTTAGAGCTGCACCTTAATTGGATTGTTTAAGGGTGCAACCTTATTGAAACTGCACCCTATACTTTTATCACTATCTCAAAACAAGACAATTTTCGTTTGGGATCTTCGATTTGGATAGGAATCAATCAAGAATACAATTTTCGATTCGGATTATCGATTTTGATAGGAATCAATTGGGATCCAATTTGATTCTAAGATGGTATGAGTTTTTGTTCCCTTTAAATTCATCTCTTTAATATTTTTGCCCTTTTTTTTATCTTATCTAATTTAACTTTTAGTAGATTGTATCGAATGATACTATTTACCTTTAATTTAACGAGGTCACAATTACTTATACCTATCCAATGTGAAATTTGATTGTTTATGTGTATCACAAAGTTTGAGAAAAAATTATTTTGCACTTTGAACTTAGTTAATGAAATAAATGTAGCAGTCAAATTTTACATTTAATGGTTAGGATTAATTGTGACCGTCTTGTATCAAAGCCAAATAGTCCCATTTTATACGTTTTTTTTTTTTTTCGAGATCCACTAAAATCCCACCCTGTAAATTCTTATTTAAGTTTTTATTTTTAATATTTTATGAATCACTAATTTAGACCGATCCAGATCACCAATCTAACGATCCAACACGGATAAGTGGTGAACAATCTGCTCCATCGATCTGCCTTTTGAAATATTGTGTATTGTTAAGGGCAAATAAGATCAAATCCCTGTGAAAAAAACAAGAATGGGTTAAAATAATTGAGGTTTATTTTTAAATTTCCAATTTAGTGGGTCACCTACCTAAAAAACATTTCAAGACACATCGAAATGGACTCTTGTTCCTTGATAATTCAAAATAAGTAGGGGTATTTAAGAGTGATGCTCCCTATGGTTCTTTGATGCCGCAGTCCCACCCCTTCCTTCTCTTTCCTAGAGGTGTAAGGGCCTGGGCCCAACCCAACAAAGGTGTAGGCAAGACCAAGACCCGATTTCCTAGATCTAGTCAGGTCAAGATATAAAAAAATACTAAATATTACAATAATAAATATAAAACATGCTTTCATTCATATATTTTACATATTATTTATAGGGCTTTATATGTTTTCCCTGCAGCATGAAAATTATATATTTCCTCCTATCCAACCGTTCATTCTAAATGAATGGTTTAAATGGCCCCAATCACAAAGTCACCCTCTATGCTATTTTATTTTTAATTTTTTTTATACAAAACGTTGTAACACCAAATTTTGGGTGTCCAATCCACTCTTGAACTCGCACCTATAAAAATGTATAAAAAATGTATTCCCTATAAAATAAAATGACTAAAATACCCCTGAAATATTCAAGGGTATTTTGGTTGTTACATTTTGTCAATAATATGTTTTAATATTTTATTTAAGTGTGCCCCATTGAGGTGATGTCATATACCAAATTTTATGTCCATATAATTAGTAAAAAAATTACAAATAAAATGCTATGAGGGATTGGATCTAAATTAAATGGTTAGTAGCTCACTTGATCCAAATTGGACAGTTGGATGAAAAAATAAATAAATATCTTTTATGTTGTAAGGGAAGCATAGAAACCTTTCTTTTCTCTATATACATATACCGAGTTGTTTATTTCATATTGGCACATGTCCTAACCTGAAGAAGCCCATATGGTTTAGGCTAGACTCCATGCAAGACCTGACCCGAGTACAGTCCAAAATTCCCATAGCTTTCTCTCTATTGTGTCGTAAATTTGTTGTCCTGATTGTGTAAATAGTGTATACGTGTTCTTCTTGTTTTGTTTTTTTTTTTTTTTAATAAATCCATGCGGATTTAGGCCGCTACCCATTTTTCATCATTAGTATAAAGAAATTGCAATACAATTCATAGTTATTTTACAATACTTTTCGAGAGAGAGAGAGAGAGAGAGGGCTTTTCTTCGTTCGATTTAGAGCAGGTATTATTCGTATTTAGTCCCACCTTATTTTACAAGAAAGGAAGAAAGCATCCTTATTACTACATATAAATTTATTTGAGGATATTTGGACATCAAAACAACATCTTTTAATGACATTTTTGAGGTGCACTTTTATTTGATTGTTTAAAGCCTTACACTTATATAAATTATTATTTTTTCATGATATGTGTTTTCCACCTCCATTTCACCTACCTTTTGGCGTCTTTTTGGGTACAAGCGATTTATTATCGATATCATGCTATCCTTATCACCAAGTTGTTGAGGATGCAAAATTCACCCTCTTTCTCTCTCTCCATTTCTTTGAAGTTCTCTCTCTTCAAATTGCACTAAGCTTTTCTTTTATGAATATTTCTTCCAATAGTGCTATGTTTATATTCTTTAATTTATCACTCATTGAACTTTAACTCCATCCGTTTTTTGGAAAAGGAAAAGGTCAAATTAAGACCTAGATCTCATTATAACTCCTTTCATTTTGGGAAGAGCTAAAGAATAAAATAAGACCTAGACCTCATGAAAACGGTAAGGCTGTGGCTCAAATTTCACTATAAATTGTAGTTTTGGTGTTGGAAAATCTTAAAGACCAATATGGATGTAAAAGAAAAATGAGGGTTTTAAGTCTTAAAAATGATGTATACTGTAACACATTATTTAAACTATTTATTTCCTAGTGTTTATAGATCTACAAAATCTTCACAATTTTTTGAGACATAAATTTGATAATTTTTTATGGAGATAAATTATAAAGCCATTATAGGGGTTTCCATGCCCAAAGTTTTTTTGGGATGAGGTTTAGAATTAATGTTTACTTTAAAAAATAATAATAATAATAATGAGGTCGACTTTCTAGAAACCACATAATTTGCAAAATTTTAAAATACCTTTCACTAATTTGATGGTGATGGGAATATATAATAATACCATTTATTTTTAATATAAAAAGTCACAATTAACCCTTTAAAGATTCGAAATCAAATTATTTGGATGTACATTGGTTGTGCTCAAAGTTCTTCTCTAACGAACAGTGGATAAGACCGAGGGGCTAGATATACAAACTACTCTGAGCATACTATATGCACAAAAAATTGTCGAGAAAAATAACAAAGATAAGGTGGATCGGAAATGCATGTAAAGGTTTGTTTGGATGGATAAAATTTTGGGAACATGATTGAATTTATCTTTTTTCATGTGGCCTATTTAAAATAGTTAGAAAAAAGTTCAGAAGATGATAACGTGTTTTTACCCTTTTCAAAGCACTTTTAATTTCCTTTAATGTCTAAAAAAAGGTTAAGACCTTAAACTTACTATTTATATTAAACCTGGGTAAAAGAGGTGCATTACGTCAATAGGCAAAAAGCATAAAATTTGGCCAAAACTTTTTATAACTTATGTACAATGTACACTTCTTCCCTCCACTAAATTCGATGGAATCTCTCTCTTCTTTGTGGCACAGAAAAAACTTTTTTGGGGCATAAAAAAAACTGAATGCGACTAGACCCTCTCTATCTCTCTCAAGAAAAAGAGCACTATGACTAAATGTGATCGATTCTCTTTTTATTTATTTATTTATTATACAATAACGAAAAGTATATATTGTGATTATTTATTTTTAGTATAAAATGGTCGCAATTAATTTTAATTATTGAATGTGAAATTGGATGACGGCATTTATTTTATTGATTGAACTCATAGTTCAAATTTTTTTTTTTTCGAACTTTGTAACACACCAAGCTACCAGATTTCATATGAGATAGTTGTAAGTAACTGTGACCTCCATATTTCAAAGGTAAATGATCTCATTGTATACAATCCTATTGCTAAATTTCATTATAATCACAAAGGAAATTCAACGATATCAACCGAACAAAGAATCCGAAATTTGTAAAGAATCCAACAAACCACCATGCTTAGCCCATCCATCTGCCACTTCATTCGCTTCTCTACAAACATGCCTAAATGATACTTCCAATTGAGAAGTTATACCCAATATATGCATTCAAATCGTCCTCAAACACCAAGGCGGTCTAACATCCTTATTACACCAATTGATAACAATACGAACATCTCCCTCAATCACACAATAGCAGTTAGATTGTCCCTCTATCAATTTCTGCCAATGGTAGGGGCCTCTCTCCACTGACCAACCCAAAAGACCAAAACAAAAAAAAAAAAATTGTTTCATATTTGTGCTCTACCATTTTAGAGTTGAAAAAAGTTTTATAAGTGCAAGGCTCTAAACAATCAAATCAAAATGCACCTCAAAATTTTCACTAGGATAGGTTGTTTTGATGCCCAAATATCATCAAATTGATCATCTTGACCTCAAAATGCATGGACATGAGAATAAAATAGATTTCATGTTTTGGAAATAATACATCTTGTAATGTATTTTTGGATCGTCAATTTTCATGATTTTCATAGATATGCTCAATCTGCATTAGTTTTTAAGCTTGAAATTTTATAATTAAAGATAAAAATATATTTTAAGGCTATCATAAAGATTTCCGATAGAAACTATATTTCTCGATACTATTTGAAGATACGCTTTACGTTGATCGATAATTGATTAGAGCCTCGGCTCTATACAAACCGCACCCTTTAGAATTTAGGGTTTAGTGGACTACGCGTGTGCTAATACTACTCCCACCAGGAAAATTCCCATTCACCTACCCCAATACCATAAAAAATAAAGAAAATTTCTCTTCTCGCTCTACAAATTGACTCATCATGTTTGTTGCTTCCAAGATCAAATTCTCTCTCTAACACACATCACAACCTCATTATTCCCTCTCCTCTCTCTCTCTCTCTCTCTCTCTCATCACAACTTCATTCCCCTCCTCTCTCTCTAGCAACACTCTCACATCACATCCTCGTGCCCCATCTCTCTCTATACTCTCTCTCTCTCATCCATATCACAACCTTATTCCCTCTCTACCACACCCTCTAGCCCGACTTATCTCGGTCACAAAATCACCACCATTACAGGATTTTAGATTACTCTCTCTCCTCTTTCTCTGGTTTCTCCTCATCCACGTCGCTCCCAAATCCCCTCTGAGCCCATGTAAAAACCAACCATCGCCCCTCTCTCATTCTTCCATTATTTCAGCTTTAACTTTCTCTCTCTACAACTTTTCTCTCATTGTTTCATCTTTAATATTCTCTCTCTAGAACAAGCAAGATCCTGGTTGCTCAATCATGGAGCTTCTTTTCTATCTCCTATGAAAATGCCACCAGTATCCGGTAAGTAATCAGAGAGAGAGGAGAGAGAGAAAGTTATTTGGACTAATTATAAGGAAAATAAAATGATCCTGTGATTAATTTATTTAGAGAGAGAGTTATCACTATTAATTTCGGGCAAAATAAATTAAAACATATGATTAATTCATTATGATTTTATGAAATATGAACTGATAAAAACAATTCTTTTGCAGGGTTTTTTTGGCTGCTTATCGGTCCCTTCACATTGAGTTTTTCATAAAAGCTGCCAATAAAGGTAAACAAATGTATTACTCTGAATACCATTTTTTTATTCTCTAGTTTTAATTCATTTGAGACTTTGAGTAAATACCAATATAGTAGTTTTCACTTTAATGAAAAATAATTATATGGAAATGATTTAATAATTTTCATATGATTCACTAAAATATCAAATTTAGGGACTTCGGACTATCTGATTTTGATTGGTTCAATTAACATAAAACTATGATTTTTATTTTTTATATATTTTTAGAATTTGGTCTGATTGATCTAACCACCACTTAAACTGTTTCTGATTGGACCATTATCTTCACCAATTCAATCTTGAAAACTATTTGAAAATTTCAATCTAGGCCAAGCTCAATGCATGAGACTTGAGCTTTGACAATTTGGATGAACAAGGCATTATCAAGCACACAGTTCGTAAAAAATGTGGGGTAGAGAAAGAATTGAGCAAATTGACCGTAACTCGTTCAACTTTATTATCATAAAAATGTGATTTTAGCTATATTCACAATAGTAACTTTATTATAAAAAAAAAAAATGATTTTAGCTATACTCACTATAGATTGATCTTGATTTGGTGATTGAAAATAAATATTACTATTTACAAGTTATATATATTTTTAGATTAAACGTCAAAGCCCACACTTGTTGGAAAGGAGAGCCTTCTCCCCCTATAAAGTTTGAGACAAAATTGCAAATGGTATTTGATGCTGTAAACCACCGAGCCAGAAGTTGTTAGCTATGGCTGCAAAGGCCCGACCCAGCTCGAGCCCAACCCTAGTCCTCATAGGGCCTGTCCAAGCCAAACCCAGCTCTTGGACCATATTTTTTCAGGCCCTGCGTGAAGCCCCACCCCGTATTCTGTGGCCTTAGCCCTAGCCCTAGCTTTCGAGGGCAAAGTCCCACCCAACCGGGCCTTTAAGTGATATTTTGAGGCCCAAACCGAGTTATCCAAGGCCAGGGCGAACCACCTGGTCCATTGCGGTACATTTGAACAAAAACATGGGGATATTTATGTCATGATTTTATGGTGGCCACTAAAATACCCTCCAATATTGTGTTCCTCTCTCTCTCTTTGTCTCTCCTCATTGTTGCAGGGGCCTGAAACAGTAAGAGGGGACAATTTTAGAGAGAGAGAGAGAGAATAAGATTCCGACCGGCGAAGAAATGGGGAGGTACGAAGAACCTTCCTTCCTCCGGAGATGAATAGAAACACAGACCCAATATCATCATAGTTTGAAGCGAAGATCCTAGAGAGAGAAAGAGCCCTCTCTAGGAGATGCAGAACATTGAAACCCAAGATCCCCAGGAGAGAGAAAGAGGAGTAGCCCTAGCCCTAGCCCCAGTTACACTGAAATATAACCCCTAGATCCTGTAAAGGTCGAGAGAGACTGATCACGAAATCCAATACAAAAGCGAGACTAATCACAAGATCAGAGACAGTGAGTCACCCCCAAAGATCTGAGAGAGAAATACTAATCATAACATCTTTGAGAGGGAGATAGAGAGAGAGAGAGAGCAATTTATTGAGGCAATGGCGGAGGCTGCAAAGGACCTAGCAGCAGGCACTGTGGGCGGGGTGGCGCAGCTCATTTGCGGGCACCCATTCGACACAATCAAAGTGAAGCTCCAGAGCCAACCAGCTCCTGCCCCCGGGCGGCCCCTGATGTACACGGGTGCCTTCGATGCCGTGCGCAAGACCCTGGCTGCAGAGGGCCCCTTCGGCCTCTACAAGGGCATGGGGGCACCGCTGGCAACCGTTGCCGCCTTCAATGCCGTGCTGTTTACTGTCAGGGGGCAGATGGAGAAGTTGCTGCGGTCCGAGCCGGGGGTGCCGCTCACCGTCCGGCAGCAGGTTGTGGCGGGGGCCGGGGCCGGCGTGGCTGTCTCGTTCTTGGCTTGCCCCACCGAGCTTATCAAGTGCAGGTATGTCAAAATCAATCTCTCTCTCTCTCAAAACTGATTTTGATATCCTTTCTCTTCTCACATCTGTGGTCAGCTTTCTTTTAGCATTTTCTCTCTTTCGTGTGCTAGCTTTCTACCCTAAAAATGGCACTTCTGTTCTCAATTTTCATATCAAAATATTTAAATTTGCTGCTCTTAACTTTAAAAAAATTAAAATAACAAAATTAAAATTGATGCTCTTTCCATGTACCTTAAAGGAAAAGTACATAAATTTCAAGCGTAAGGAGGTCATAATTTCTTATTTCTTAAGATTTCGAATGGTGGTCAGGAGCGCATCATTCACAGGAGAGAAAAAAAAAACCTATTTTAAAGAGAGAAAAATTTCAAAAAATTAATTTTATGTGATTTCCATAAAATTGAAGCCATATCGCACTATGGAAAGCATGTTAGGAGTACGAGTGTGCGATATGTGGACTTGTGTAGTACACATTTGATGTGCCGTAAATCTCTAACTCTTACTCTTATGTGTTATACAATTACTCTTGTGTGTCATACAATTTGTGTTATATAATCAGGATGTGGTTTTTATTAGCTTGCAACTTTAAACAATTCAGTAAAAGCGCACTTCCAAATTTTATCATGGGTAAAACCTTTTTAAGATTATTTAAAAGAAAGTATAGAATGAGACCATTTACATGTACTTTTACTTTTACTTTTTTTTGTTGAAGATGTTATCTTTTAATTAATGAAAGTAGAGTACATGAGAGAGGTTGGGCAGTCCAAGAAAGTGTAAGCACCGGAACCACAGAACAGAAAAAAGAAAAAAGAATTCACAAAAGATTTAGCCATCTGTTATGGTTACAAAGTCAGTGAGTCCCCTGAAGTAAAAGGGCTAGTTCGAACTCTAGAAGCCATTGGCAACAACTGCTTCTTTAGTCAAGGTGTTCGCCTCCTCCAAGTATGCTTCCAGCAGACAAGAATATCCCCGCTCTGGAACTTAATCTCTTCACAGATGTGAGCCGAGCACCATGGAGGTGGGGATGACTTGGAGGCCTCTTTTATAGTGAGGGTTTGAATGCTTAGGGTTTGGATGAGTTTGATGCCTTCTAGCAAGGCTATCGCCTCTGCTTCTGTAGTGTCTGCATGGCCAATAGGCTTAGATATAGAGAGCACAGTTGAACCAGAGTAGTTTCAAAAATTGGCTCCAATGTTTGATGGGCTGTGGTTTTTGAGAGAACATCCGTCAACGTTAAGCTTGCGACATCCCTGGTCGGGAGGAATTCATGGGGGGTTCCTCGAGGGACGTTTGCTCATGTTGTAGGACCGAAATCCAATCCTGGACAAAAGCATTAGAACAAATCCCTTTGAAGATGCGATTGTTAGAGGCCCCGAAGATCACCGAGGATTTAAGTCCGGAGAAGGTAGTTTGTCAGGCCGATTGCTCTCCTCTAAAAATCCTGTTGTTCCTCTCCATCTATATTGCCCTTAACGTAGCTGCCACAATGTGGTCACAATAATCCTAACTATTGGATGTAAAGTTGGGAGGCTGTAATTATTCCATTTGATCAAGCTCAAACTTCAAAAGAAATTTTCTCAAACGTATACATCCAAGCTATCAAATTTCACATCAAATGGTTGTAAAGAAATGTGACCACTTTGCATAAAAAGTAAATGGTCTCATTATATACAATTTCCTTATTTAAAAATCTATTTTCACTTCTAATTATAAAATTTTAAACTCCAAAAATGGTTAAAAATCAAGTAAATCTATAAATATATGAAAATCTTGAAAATGGACGGTTTAGATAATATGCATGAAAATCTAATTATAAAATTCGAGTCTTATCCCAACTATTTGGGATCAGTTAAACAAAAAAAAATCCAAATTCAATTCCCTTTTCCCGACTATCATTCTGACAATAACCCAACTATCATTCCGACAATAACCCCATTTTCGGGCCATAATTCCAACAATGAGTCCCTGAAACCACAGGTTGTGGCCAGCAAGTACTCTTTTTTCGAGCCCATAACCCGATTTCTCTCCATCTAAAATTTCAGACTCCAAGCTCAAAGCGCACTCGCCACGGACCTTGTTGCTGCCGCTGCCACCCCAAAGTACTCGGGCCCCATTGATGTGGCTCGCCACGTACTCAAATGTGAAGGTGGGGCCCTCGGCCTCTTCAAAGGTCTTGGGCCCACCCTCTCTCGCGAGGTCCCCGGCAATGCTGCGATGTTTGGCATCTATGAGGCTATCAAGCAATACTTTGCAGGAGGAACGGACACGTCATCACTGGGGCGGGGCCCGCTGATGGTTGCCGGAGGCACGGCTGGTGCCGTTTTTTGGGCCGCAGTTTACCCGACTGATGTTATAAAGAGTGTTATTCAAGTCGATGATTATAAAAACCCCAAGTATTCTGGGGCCTTCGACGCTGGGAAAAAGATTCTGAAGGCAGAGGGGGTGAGGGGACTCTATAGAGGGTTTGGCCCTGCCATGACGAGGAGTGTTCCTGCAAATGCTGCATGTTTCTTGGCATACGAGATCACGAGGTCGAGCCTTGGTTGATAGTAATAACTAGGCGGAAAATTCAGAATCCAGCAAACTTTTGGCCAGAAATTACAAGCTTTGGTGTTGAATTCAGCTGGAAACCTTTGGATTCGGGTTATTGGGGAGTTTGGGACTGATTCTTTTCCTGGTTAGGATAATGGACGGTGGAAAATTCGTTTTTGGGATAACGGTTGGTGGAATGGACATTGTTCGGGTTTGGATTTTGTATCTGGTTGTGTTTGCATTGAAATTAAAAGGAATTGGAAACAAACTTGGGCTCAAACGGTTCGTTGTCAACAATCACAGCAGCATGTCCCAAGTTTAAACTAACCCAAAAAAAATTTCCCTTTAGCACATAAAAAGAAAGACGAACACAGATTGTCGATGGAGAACTTTTGATCCTCCTGAAGGATCGAACTCCAATACCATCTCCATCACAAATTCATTTGGTAGAGGGAGATGGTCAAGAAAAAAGATCAAGATGACAACATAGTCATTGAGGGCGATGGTCAAGACAAAAGATTAAGATGACTATATGGTCACCAAAATGAAGGTTGGGCAATAAAAGTGTTTCTGTCAGCCTGCCAGATACCTCTACAAATTCCAGCCAAAAATGGCCGGATAATGGGGTAGAACACTGTTCAGTCTGAAGGAGGACCAAATGTTTCCCCTAAAGTTGAAATATCCTTGAATGCTTTACCTTTATTTGAATTGATGAGATTCATTAACTTGGTCGAATTGAACTCGGTAGTAAACTTTTGGTTCCCTGAAGTTAAGAGGAGCCTTCTTGCTTGGAAATTGAAAGTTAAAATCATCTCGCGCACATATATGCGTGTATGAGAGAGAGAGAGCTTAAACTCTAATGCTTGCTTAAAAAAACAGCAGAAATGAAAATAGACAAAATTCCTGCTCAGTAATGCACATAAAAAGATAGAACATTCGTGTTCAGTAATACACAATATTTATGGAAGAAGCCTAACAAAAGATGCATATCTCTCTCTCTCTAAATATTTTAATATTTATTATTCAGCTCTGCAGCACCTAACAGGAACTACTAATTTAGAAGTAGAAAAGGAAAAGGAAAACTGAAATCCATTAGCTAAGGGGAAAGAAAAAGTGTAGACTGCTTTCAAGGAGTAGGACCTCTTATAGAAATAAGAGACAGAATTTCAGTAACTGAGGCCATGGAACTCAAAGCTGCCTTCAACACCTCCTGTGAGCAACCCGGCTTCACCATTCTCCTCACCTGCATTCCAAAATAACAAAAACAAAAAGAATCTCTCTCAGGAATTCCTTGCTATTTATTTATTTAACAAGGCTAAAAATAAACATATAAAGATTTGGGATTGTCTACAAAGCGACCATGTACATTTTGAACAAGGAGGTTACAACTATTCTCACTCATTAGATGTCAAATTGGATGGCTTGGGGTGAATAATGAAGTCTAAAATTTTTTTTTTTGAACTTTGTATTTAATCAATGACACTTTTATAACCACCCAATTTGAAATCTAAAGAACAAGAATGATTGTAACCTCCTTGTACAAAGATAGATGGTCAATCCCTAAAGATTTTTGGGTACTGAACAAAACCTTGTCAAGGCTGTCCTGCAGCTTCTTGATCCTCCCCATATAATCTAAGTCCTCGATGCATAAACTTATTGCCTTGGCATCAGATCCAGGCCCCTCGAATTGCAGTGGCCCTGGGTTCCGGTATAAGTCTTCCATCAAAAACTTCTCGGCACTACACATCAACATCCTGAAAGTGCCAAGTGATCTCACATCACAATCAGGGATAACTGGAGACAAACTTAGAGAGAGAGAGATTCATATTATCATGTCTGTAGTGTTAATTGTGTTCAGTCCACATTGATGAGGTATAGGGTCCACCTCAGTGTCTAACTAGCTCGTTCAGGTAGAGAGACATGGCACAGTGTTGCAGTGGTTGGTGCTCATCTCTCTCTCTCTCTCACACACATAATGAGTTTGCTTGCATCTTACATAATACAATAAAATTAATGGGACAGGTTTATATAAGGTTAACACCTTAAATTGTAGAATTAAGGTACACCTCAAAAATCCATTGGAAAAGACTATATTTTGACGTTGGAAAACCATCTATTTGATCATCTCGACATCAAGAGGCATGGATAGGGAAAAAAAATCAAAGATTTCAAGTCCCAAAAATAGTACATCTTGCAATACATTATTTGCACTATCTATTTTCAATATTTTCATGTGTTTATAGATCCGTTTGATTTGAACCATTTTGGAGTTTAAAGTTTTATAATTAAAGATGGAAATAGATTTTTGGGTCATCCTAAAAATTTTGATACCAAAATTGCATCTTATGATAAAGTTTGGAGATGTGCCTTAATTTGATTGTTTGAGGTTGCTATGCAAACCTCATCCAAAAGATTTAATCATGGTTAAAAGTAGAATTACTCACGCATAAGGCTTTCCTTTCAAATCCACAGCAGCGTGGTTAATTGAAGGTTTCCCAATTGAAGATGATCCAGGAAAATGTAGGCACCTCTTCACTGTCATCATTGCCTGCCAATGTTTAATCGTCAATGACAGAATAACTCCGTAAATGAATTCCCCTCTTAGCCATGTTGATTAGACACATATGCTTGTGTTAGCATTAGACACTGATACACAGCGTCGGATTCCTCATTACATGAATTTAACAGGATTCAGCAATATGTTTTTTAAGCGAACAAAATTGAACATTGTTTACTAAAATTCCTTTACATGACGAAGCTAAAAAAAAAAATCAATTATGCCTTATTTGGTTGAATCCATACATGTTTTCGAAGTACACATGTTTCTTTTCATAAAAAAGGACTCTAAAATGATGTAGTCTATGGTTAATAATTGTTGGTATGTGTCACGAAGTGTCCAGAACCCAAATAGAAAGAATCCATGTAACATAGGCTTTTAATGGAAAAGAAAACTAAAAAGGTAATAAAGTTCTATACTAAACTTAGATTGCTAATTTTACTTGAAAAGTAGGAACAAAGGGCAGATGTAGTAAAATAGTACCATAGCCCATTGAGTGAGAGTATAGACAAAATAACGAAAAATACTAACAGTCATTGGAGCGCCCCCACAACACCACTTAGAAACAGGTTGTTTCAGATTTGTCACAGTAGCCATGTAACCATTTACCCCAGCAGCCAGAAGATGATAACATATATGGCCAAGAACCTGCATATATTACACATAAATGATGACAAGTAACAAGGCAAAGTACACCATATTCACACGGGGTGGGGCATCCACCATCCACTTCCATGGCAGATGATGGAAGTTAATACTTAATAGTATTGGGACCTACCATGGCTTTCTACCAAACAATTAAATCTCACCATCCATCATTGGGAGCAGATGGTGGATGCCCATTTGGAGAACAGGGTGATAATCTCCCATGATGAATCCATACATAACAAAAGAATAAGATCAAGCAAAAGTCCTTTACAAAAAAGAAAGCCTGAAATTGCACAGTCGCTAGTCCTCACATAAGCATAGTCACAGTCAAATTGTGATGGTAGTGAACCTCGAGCTTGGTACCCAAAAAAGTGGCAGATAGCATTGAATTTCTTTCCCTTGTAAGTCCCTTGCTTCTATAGCATAGAACTAGTAGTAAGTTAGAAGACAAATGGTGAGCAATTGAAATATAAATGATTTAGCTAACATTTCACAATTTATGCTAATTTTGGATTTCTCTTTACACAAAATAATCAATCAAATGAGAAATAATATTACGAAGTACGAATATGACAATAATAACAGTAGTAGTAGCAGAGGGAGAAGTAGTGGTAGTAGTAGTATATGCAGTGGAAGGGGTCTAGCCTGATTAAAATTTGTTACATACCGATCTAAGAGACATTTCTGCCTCCACCAGTTGAGCTAAAAGCTTCTCAGTTTCAATCTACAGGAGAAAAAAACAAAAACATGATAAAAAATATAGAAAATTGGAGAACTTCGTAAATAATCTATGAAAAGGATATTGAAATTTGAAGAAACATTTTCAAGGCCTAATCACCTGGGAAAGCTGGGCTGAGTTATCAGATGCAGGGGACAGAAGAAGCTGGCGTACAAAAACTGCATTAGTAAACAATTATTTGTGCATTTAATAGTTATCAGATAGAGCAGTAAGTTATAATATGACCCAGTTGACCAAGGATAAATCACCATGATCATTAGGTGATGACCTCAAGGTCCAAGCATTTTATGACCCAAGGATCAGCTCAAACTTTCATAAAGGCTATCTAATTACATGAAGAAACTCAATACCTGCTTCTTGATGAATGGTGGCAGAAATTCGAATAAAGCAGAGGCCCATGGTGACAATAGCGATGATATATTGTCCACAGAGACTCCTCGACTGTGGAGACCACGAATTTCCTAGGAGTATTTATTAATTATTTAGTTATATAGAAGTGAATCAACAAAAGAATTACTAGTATATATACTTTATAGTTCACTGGAAGAAAACTCTTGTATGATGTGTCTTCTAATAACGAGTTTTATGCACCTGCAGGAGAGCATGTATTTCAGGAATGCTTTCAATTAGTCCCTCAGGTAAAAGGATGACCCCATGGTATTTATCTGGCAGAACAACATACAAACAATAGAAAAATCAAGTGAAAAATAACATTAAAAAGGAAAGCATAACCTTATTTAGTGTGACTAAGTACACAGCCAGAAGGAAACCTCAATTATTTTGTGATCTTATAATTTATTATTAATATTCTCATCTACTAACAGGAAGAAAAGATGTGTATCAAAAGCACTCTAATGAGAAAAAGAAAGCAAAGGCTTCTCATCTTTCAATATACAAATCATTACCCAATAGTAGAATAGTTCAGTTTCAATAGATAATAGTCCCTAAATAAATTATTTACATTTTCTCAATATTTGTTGCATGACAATAGTTTTTAAATAAGTTATTTACATTTTCTCAATATTTTTTGCATGACAAAATAGCAAGGCAAATAACCTTGTTCTGCCCTTGCTTGAACTGCATCACATATTCTTTTGGTCACGTCAAAGAGTGTCAGTTTTGATGAGGCAACCTCCTCCCCAAGGATCACCTAACCAAAAAAGAGAAATTAGAAAAAGAATGGATCTCTTCTACTAATATTTTCTATGTTAATGGAATAAAGGAGAAAGAAATTAATCAAATCAGAAAAAAACGAGTGAAATGCAGGTAGGAAACTCTGATAAACTCAGAAAAGAAAAAATCGAAACCATTGAAACCAACCATATTTGGCTGAGACTGGAGAGCACATTCCAAAGCAACATGAGAAGCACTGCTACCCATGAGCCGAATGAAGTAATAATACTGCAAAATAAGGGAAAGAAAATAGAACGAACAACATTTTGTCAGAAAACCTACTCAGAGTTGTATTTTCTTAACGACAAGATTAATGGATACACTATTTACACTATTTTGTTGTCACTTACTCCCAAAAATATCACACATTCCAAAAAATTTATGATAAATGGAGTTTTGAGAAGAATAAACAAAAGTTAAAGATATACACCAGTGTGAATAAACTTCCCCCTGACCCATAGAGATATTTGAAGGAGTCAATCCAATTATTCGGAAGAAAATCAAAGAGCCCTATTGTGTGGCTCTTGAAATTGAATGATATAATTTGAGTTAGAAGAAAGAAAAAGGACATGCAATCGTATACCTTCTCAGCAGAGAGAGCATCCGTGCAAATATTGCTGATAAGCTGGGAGTTAACCTGGAGTTCAGAGAAAGCAAAACATCAGGAAAAAGTTTCTGCAAGTCTTATAGAGTGAAACATGAAAAGCAGACTCCTGAATCATGCAACAGAAATCCGAAATAAGTTAAAACAAAAAGTCCATGACATACAAGTACTGTAGAAGACTAAGATGTCCATGGTTGTTAACACAGATCCTCTCATAAACAACATCTTCAGTACCATTTAATTGAGTCTAATTTATCCAAACAATGCAATAAATCAAAGCTATAGGGGTGTTGCAATAATATCACTTCTAAAGCTATTATATGTACCTCTCATTAAATTTCCATCAAGAAATATAGAGCTACATTCGATTTCTAAAGAAATAAGAATGGTTAGAATAAGAGAGTTCAAATGGGCCCATCAAAGAGGACACAGTATTTTCTTTTCTCTCATTTTTTTTTTTTCTGGGGGGGTGGGGGGAGGGAGGAGGGGGTGGTGGGGGTGAGTGAGAGAGAGAGAGACCACGTGTTTCATATATGCACGTGAATTGGGTGTAAATGGAATTCCTCTCGTTTCCTAGTGTTTTTTATTCTCGTCATTTTATTGATCCACATTTTAGTTTCATGTAAACCTGAATAAGCAAAATATAAATTTAATAATGAAAACCAATCAGGACTCATATGCAACATGTTTTTCACATGATAAAGAAAGGAAACAGGAAAAACACAGTCCAATTGACACTTCAAAAAAGAGGGTAGATCAGCTTGTTGTTTTTTTGGGATAAACTTCAAAGGTTCAAACCCTTTTACTCTCTCAAAGTAACTGATATGTCTACCACTGAGCTGAAGCCTAAGGGACAAGGCTGCAATTAACACTTCATACCTTACATATCGTGTCAAACCCAACATCAGCCTCCACAAACTGATTCTTCAAGTCCCCGTACAAGGTGACAGGAACACCAATCACCTGCAAACTCAAAAATAAAATTGTGTAGTTTGTCGTAAGCACAATCAATCAACAGATTTCTTTATTAACAATATATAGAATATACTTCTGTTCACGCAAATGTAAGGATTTCTGTTTGTTAGTTCTGTATATTGGGTTCCTCCAACTTTCAGAGTGTCTGACACTCTTATAATGATCTTTGCAATGACCACAAAAATTTAGCATCTTGCCATGCAACCAGTTCAAAAATAGCAGGGAGGCCCCCAAAAATTGGTCTATTTCAACCAAGCAACTAATAAAATATGTGGACCAAAACAATTGTTCCTATTGAAAAAAATACATTTAAAATGAAGAATATGCATAACCAATACACGAGTATATACTTATATATGTGGGTGCACTTATGTAGACATACTCTCTCTCTCTCTCACACACACACACACAAACAACAAGGGAAGTAAAGTACTTTTGTCTGGCATTTTGCTTCTGCAAATGTCTCAGCAAGTTGAGCAGCATCTGTGTTGGACGTGACACCTTCAGAAGAAAAGTAGGATGCTGGTTACAACACTGCCTATAGAAGTAAATTAATAAAGTTGCTAAACTGGAAAAGCTTGTCACTACCTCCAATGATGACAAGCCCATCTAACTTCAATGCTTGGCAAGTGGTTAATGCGGCATTAACTTGTTCGTTTGTTCTTATTTGATCTTTTGTTCTTCCCAGCATATCATATCCACCTTCACAAAAAATATGAAAATTTAACAGATAAAGAGTCTCGTTGAGATTCAAGCAACTAAAATCCATGAAGTATTTTTTGGATTTTAGTAGCCTTCAACATGATGTGATTTGAAGTTCATAAAAGAAAAGCACAGTGTAAATCATTAGACACGGTATGTAAGCATACGAGAATACTATTAAATTGAAGGAACAAATATTTGCAAAAAATATGTATACCTTGATTACGATAGGCTGAGACAACATCCTTGGTGATTTCTAGAGTTTTCTGAGCAAATAACCCTTCACTTCCTCCTATAGTGACCATAAAAAGGAAAAGAGAAAAAAATAATAATAATAAGGAACATGGTATTCAGTCAATGATTAATTAATTATTGAATAAAAATTCAGAAGACACCGAGGAAAAAAAATGACGAAGTTACCATTTGATGCTAGCAACTAGTTCAGTAATTCTTCATAATGCTAATAGTGGTGCATGTTTGTCTACAATCATCAATTTAGAAATCATAGACTTACTTTCATCAATTAAATCCATATGCAATGATGGTTAATATATAATATGAGAAAATTTAAGGAGGATAACCTGTCAAACTATCAAACATGTTAAGGAAAATACTTGATAATATGGACCTCTAAATTGCAACTAAGAGACTATGGTACAAGTCCAAATCTGCCAAATTTAAAGAAAGACGGAAGAAACCAATATCAACAGGAAAAGAAAATATAATAAGGATTGTATACAATGAGACCATTTGTCTTTGGTATAGGAGATCACAATTACTGATAACCATACGTTTTATCTTTGAGCTTAGTCAATGCAATAAATGTAGCCATCCAACTTCACATCCAATGGTCAATATTAACTTTGACCACCTTGTACTAAAGATAAATGGTCTCATTGTATACTTTTCCAGTATAATAATATGATCCTCAATACCCAAAGAAAAGAAAGTGACAGAGTTAAGATCTGGCCAATATGTGGTGATTCCATGCACAACCTGAACTTAGGGGATCACAACCAGAAGATCCATGAATCAACTTCAGGATTCTCAAAGAGCAGATTTCACGTCATTGCAAGTTGAAACAGACAGTACAAGATTGGAAAGTTCATAATTGGTCTTCTGACTGAACAACAGTATTATAGACATTGCAACTATGGTTTCTCAAAATTCTAGGCTATTCATACTTCCTACAGGTGATGGATATACACATGGATGAAGAAGAATTAACTCAACCATTGAGAAACCAAAAGATATGATAATTTGAAACGTTAAATGAGGTACAATAAGGACTAAGTTTGCACTCCAAATCACTAGCTCGCATCTTCAAACAAAAAATAGTTCTTAAGAACTTAAGAGTAACAATCTTGAAACAATATATATCAGCGCCTTCAGTCAATGCTTAATCATAACAACAATTTCTTAGCCTTTCTTTTGAATGAGTGGTGCTCGGTTTGTGTGCTAGAGGTTGAAGGTTTGAAAATTGTCCATCATAAAAAGCAAGCTTTCCACTCACCCACCACCATGCTCCCTGAGCAAAACTTAGGGAAGGCAAATCCAACAAGTAGATGCCAGTAAATCCATTCTAATATGCACTGCCAAAGTTACAGAAGACAAACAATACCAAAATTGGCAAGAACAAATGTCCAAGCGAAAAAATAAACGCAGGAATATGGCATCAACTAGAACTAAATCAGTGGTTAGAAACATACCAACAAATCCTAGCAAAGTACTTTTAGGATTGTGAATCTTTATAGCTTCATGAAGACCACAGATGACATTATGTCCACCAGGAGATTGGCGTCCACAAAAGACAACCCCGACCCTAAAATTTACAACTCAATTATGTGAGAGACTAGTCCGAATCTCAAATCTTATTTTGCAGGAAACTAATTTTGCTCCTCTATTACCTTCAAACACAAATCCATTCCTTTTTTCTTTGTTGATTATTGTTTCTAACCACTCAAAAAAAGAAAGAGAGAAACAACATTTCAAAAGTATTTGTTATAATTATAACCGGAATTGTGGAGAATTCATGAAACAAAAATAAAAGGTGGCTGAAGTCCGTTCCCCCCTTCTCCTCTTCCTCCCTCCCTCCCCCAAACATGCATAATCACATTGAATGATAAAATTCAAGTACAAAATGCTAGTCCCGAGCAAAATAGCTTTCAATTGCCACAATAAAACCAGGAAATATGGTGCTTACCAAAATAAAAGAAAAAAGGAAATATGGTGACACCATTTACCTAATCGGTGTCAACTCTTGCACAACATGGGCATCGATAACGTTATCAGATTCTGCTAGAAAATGAAGCAGCGGTTGCCCATATGTCAAAGGAAATGATCGACCGATCGAATCCAATGGATTTGAGGTAATTGTGGCATCAGCAAATTCCACTCTCACTCTAGATTCCTGTAACAAAACAATTAACATCAAAAAGTTTCTAAAAAACTAGCAAATTAGCAATAAATAAGATCAAATTATGAAAAAGTAAATGGAATAAACAGCAACAGCTCATAATTTGATTCAAATTAGCAGCAGCCCATCATTAACTTCAAATTAGCAAAAACCCAAAAAACAAAGAAAAAATAAAGGATCAAAGTATCAAACTATTTAACCCACCACTCTTACTCTAGATCCCTGTAACAAAACAAATAGCATCAAATTCTTTTCATAACTAGCACTACTAAGATCAAATTACGAAAATAAATTAGATAATATAAACAGCAAGAGCTCATAATTTGCTTCAAATTTGCAATAGCCCATCATTAACTTCAAAATCAAATTGGCAAGAAACCCAAAATTTGCGTCAAAAAATTTGCAGCAAAATCGTTGAGCAAAATAGTAATTAGCTCACCACTGACTCAGTTTCTCAAATTCAAAAGTGAAAGAAATATCAATGACCCATCATGTTTGAATAAACTGATAGAGAGAGGAAATAATCAACAGGGCTCATGGAAAAATTCAAGGAAATAATCAATAGCCCATCATTTGCTTCAATTTTAGCTTTAGCGCAATTATTTGCATAGCATCAAACTACCAAAGCAAATCAATAGTAACAATCCAACACTGCCATTAATTTATCAAAGTAAAAGAACAGTAAACCCTTGACAAGAATACTGTAGAGAGAGAACAATTAAATAATTAACAATACTCAAGGAGAATAAATATCCCAACTCACCAATTGCTTCAAATTATCAAAACCCCATAATTTACAACAAATTTTCAAAGCAAATCAACAGAAATAAGAGATAATTTTCATCAATTTATCACGGTAATAATATATTACAATGGAAAAATTTAGTGATTGGAGAAAGTAATCGGCAATGCTCAAGGAAAAATTCAAACCCCAAAAACTACATCAATGCAGAAAATTCAGCTGAATTACCCACATTTAGTTGATTTATAGGACTTTTCTTTCTTTCTCTCGATTTGGTTCTTCAGCAGGGGGTTTGATGGGAATGTGCTGTGGAGAAGTAACCCAAAAATTGCCATTGTACTCTCTTGTAGAGATAGAGAGAAAAACAGAGAGACAGAAAGGTAGAGAGAGAGGGCAATGGCGAAAACGCTCATATGGGGGGGGGAGATACATGGAGAAACACTCATATTAGAGAGAGAAAGTTAGAGAAAGAAAGAGAAAAAGGGGGAAAAACGCTCACGCCCGCGCTCCCGCCACTCCTGCAAAAGATCTTTTTTGCTTTTGTAATTTGAAAAAAAAAAAGAAGCAATTTTTGGTAATTTGGTCATATTAAAATTCTTTTTAATAATGATAAATTGGGGCTCTTCAAATAAAAAGTCTTCACATAAACCGCATTAATATATCGTTTTTGTTGAGAAAATGAGTTTTTTTTAGCCCGTTTAAAAGGAAAATTTTCTTAAATACATTCTTTTGTGGTATTAAAGAATGGAAAAATACCGAATGATACAATTTACCTTCGATATAAGGTGAGACATTAATCTTGACCATTAGATGTGAAATTGAGTGGTTGCAATTATTCTATTGACCAAGCTCAAACTTCAAAAGAAATTTTCTCAAACTTGGTGACACATCCAAGCCATCAAACCTCACATCGGATGGTTGTAAATAATTGTGACTACTTTGTATAAAAGGTAAATGGTCTCATTATATACAATCCCCTAAAAAATAGCTCTAATATTTTAAGTTGTAGGTACAAGATTTAAGACCAGCCATGTTTTATAGAATGGAATGTTGGACAATCGAGAAACAATATATACATAAAATGAGTGTAGCTGAGATGAAAATGTTGTGGTAGATGCATGATAAATCAAGAAATGATAAAATTTATAATGAATATGAAAAAGTATACAAGGAAACCATTTACTGTCCATTTACTTTTTGCACATGGTGGTCACAATTAATCTTGACTTTTAAATGTGAAATTGGGTAGTTACATTTAAACACAAAATTCAAAAAACATTTTCCCGAATTTTGTGACACACAAACTATCAAATTTCTCATCAAATGGTTATAAGCAATTGTAACATTCTTGTACAATAGGTAATTGATCTCATTGTATGCTATCCCAATGAATATACACATGGAATTAGGTGAATTGGTCATTTGCAGCTTAGACCAAATCCAACACTAGTTAAGAAGGCAATTTGGTTGTAATGGAAAGGTCTAAAAGGATAAGGGAAAGGACCCAAAAAAAAACATGGATAGAAGTATTGATTATTGATATTGACATAGTGACTTAGTCTAGCTGAAGATACGATTATTGATAGAGTAGAATGGCAGAGCAAGATTTATATATCCAACTTGATTGGAAAAAGGCTAGGATGAGATGATTATATTTTACATTGTAAGCTAATACCCTTTTTTGTATATATATTTTCCCCCATAATATCCTTAGTACATAACTCTAACTTCACATACTTTGTAAATTAGGAACGGATTGGATATTCATGTTCTGGCCTAGTATTTTCTTTTTTCTTTATTTTTAAAGAAGTCCCTGCAAAAACTGGATCGAAAGTTGGAAATCCAATGCAACAATAAAAAATGACCAATATTTAAAACCGGATAATAACTTCACATTCTAACCCAATTTCTCAACAAAAAATTAAGTCAAACTTGGAGTTCCGACCTAAGAACAAACCCAAGAAAGCTCCCCACATAGGAAATTGGAGCTTTCATCAGGACATTTTGGAGAAATAAATAAATAAAAAACAAAATAAGGGACAAGTGTAAAATGTTTTTAATACTTAAAAAATGGTTATTTTGAAAAGAAAAAAAGTTTACATAGAGCCGAGGTTCTAAACAATCAAATGTGAGCCTACATCAAAAATTTTCATTAGAAGAGGTTGTTTTGATATTCAAATATCTTCAAATTGATCATCTCGAAGTCAAGATGCATGGACATTGAGAGTTTTGAAAATAGTGTATTTTGTAATGCATTTTTGGACCGTTAATTTTCAAAAATTTCAAAGTTTGCATAGATTAGTCGATCTACATTATTTTTTAAGTTTTAAACCAATGTCCGTAAAATGGAACTAGAACAGTTAATCGGTTTTGGGGCTGGGAGCGGTTTGAACTGGAACAGGACTAACCGGGGTGGTTAACTGTTTTAACCAATCAAGTAGTTTTTTTTTTTTAAAAAAAAACTAAAAACGTCCAAAAAAATTAAAAAAAAATGAAAAAAATAGAAAAAACTTAGATTAAGTGTATACTATTATATGACATACATTTAACTTACAAAAAAAATTGAAATAACTTTTTATATAAATTAATATTTGAAGCCTATGTAGATATGCAAGACAATTTATAATGATATTAATTCAATTAATGAAGTTACAAAGTCCAACTAACAATGCTAGTAGTAATGAAAGCTGCGAAGGGGATCATGATATTGTTGTGTTTCACTATCAGGATTTACGGGGCGAAAAATCTAAGTAAGGCTTGGTGGAGTCTGTAATGCCGCAGTTGTGCCCACTCGCCATTCAGGAATATTTCTTGTGGTACCCCCTTGGCTAAAGTCTCCTAAACTTGTCCAGCCTTCATGCTCTCCCCCACCCTGTTCTGTGTTACCTCCACCTTGTAGTACCCCTTGAATATATATATATATATATATATATATATATATATATATAATCTTCGATATCCAACTCTTTCCCATTATAAATAGTATAAAGATGTTTTCTTTTCTTGACTCCTCATACGTGAAGATAATAGTGCCGATCATTGGAAAGAAAAATTCATCTCTGGCTTTCCCTACTTGTTTGCTGAAAAAGTCCGTAATCGTTTCAAAACAAAACATGGGGGGATTATTCCTTATCCTCTCTTTACTTTAGGCGAATTGTCAGCCGAAATTTGTGCAGAAGGGTTATCTCTCTGTACTAACCTAAAATTAAAACGGCAACTTGAGAAACAAAAAATGACTGGCAAAAAGGAATTAGGCGACTTTTGCGAACAATTCAGATATAGTTTAGATCTTTCCCAGAATAAACCTCATAAACATAGAAAGCTATAGAAAAGACAAAAATCATATAAAAAACTATATCATAAAAGAAAACCTAAATATAAAGACGAAAAATACGAGAAAAAACCCAAAGACGGAAAAAAATATAAAAGAAAAATACCTCGGTGTTATAAATGTGGAAAATTAGGACATTATAAAAATAACTGTAATGTTAATAAAAAGATAGAATCCTTAATAGTAGATGAAAATATAAAAATCAGTTATATGAAATCATTCAGCTTTATGATAAAGAGAATGATCTTACTACAACTTCTTCCTCATCCTCAGACAGTTCTGATAACGAATCAGATATTGGAATAATAAAAGATGAAGATTTATTAAATGAAACATCCTCTTTATCTGACCAAGATAATAACTGTTTTTGTCATACTCTTACCAAAGAAGACAATTTAATTCTAGAAATTATAGACAAAATCCCTAATACTGAAGATAAAAGAACCATAATCAATCAATATATTCAAATAGCAAAAGCTATGAATAAACCAACTCCATTAATTAAACCACCAAAAGAATATAGTTTCTCAAAAATTCTAAAAAGAATTGGCCAAAAGAATAATAGTAAAAAAGAACCCACTATTGCTGAGTTAAAACACGAAATTAATGAAGTAAGATCTGAATTGTTTAAGTTAAAAAATAGAATCAAATTATTAAAATTAACCGAATTAACAAATAATAATTTCGAAGATGAAGAAGACAGAATTTACAACTTTACTACATAATATGGAAGATAAACCTGAATCCTCTAATTTTAACCAAGAACTTCAATTAAATTTAATCAACAAAATACTAAACCAAAAATGGTATACTTTGGTTAAAATCATAGTCCAAAACCGAATATACCTTTCAAACATTAGCTCTAATAGATACCGGTGCTGACTTAAATTGTATAAACGAAGGATTAGTTCCCACAAAATA